CACCCCAGCTGTAGGGACCTGGGGCCACCCCGGCTACAGGGACTCGGGGCTGTCCCTGTGTCCTCCCCAAAGCCGGTTAAACGTCTCTGCTACAGGATATCAACACCCGGTGACACGGGTATCAACACCCCGTGACACGGGGCCGAGGGCTCCGCGGTGATTTCCGTGCCCGCTGCAGTGGGTCTGGCCATGTCCTGTTCCCTGTTCCCAGGCTTGGGCAGCAGCGTGCGTTATTTAAAAAAACCCCAATTTAGTAAGCTACCGGGTTTGATTTCTGTGAAGCAATGACACCTGTGGGGAAGGGAGGACAGGAGATCCTCCAGCCCGAGCTGCAGCTTTGCGTGGAGCCCTTGCTGCAGGATCCCTGCGTTAGCAGAGAGCTTTGTGATGGAGCAGGTTCACAATAAACGTGTGTAAGGAAACCTGCCAGGTAATCAAACCTCAGATAAACATCCTGTCCCCACAACTCCTGCTCTTCTTCAGGATTCACAAAATCCTACTCTTCTTTTGCAGCGGGCAAGAGGCAGGAGAACGTGGTTAGACACGAGAGACACCTCCTGCTGTCCTCTCCTCAGCTTCCCGTGGTCACCAGCATTGATCCAGCGTGGTGTGAGCTGCTGTGCAATGACACATCTACATGAACCACGTGAGTGGGGAACTATCTGCTGGTTGGGACACAGAGTCATCAGCGTCATTAAAAAAACCCACCAGAATTTCCATCTTAGGTTTTTTTCCTAGAATCTCTTTGGCAGGAGAAACAGCTCCCAGAGTTCTCCCGTTGTCAAAGAGAAATAATCTTTGATCCTAATGTACTGAAACGATCTGGACGCTCTGTCTGATCGAAAGAAGTCAATTGGGGAGTTATCACCGTCTCTCAAGTTGAGATTTATCGTTCTTCACGTCTTTTCAACCCACAAACTCCTGGGCAGAACGGGAGGAGATTAACTGGGGATTACTGATTGCTAATGACAAGCTGGCAGGGTAAAATTAGAAAGGGAATGTTGTGGAGGAACCCAACCCCTCTTGCTTTAGCGCTTCTGGTGTTTGGGTTTCAATTGCTGAGGGCAGAGCCTTGAAGTGCATTTTTTTAATTGCTGGAACAAGCAGGTGGGGGTTTTATTAACCAAATACGGGAGACGGGGACGCTGATGTGCACCCAGCACAGACTAATCCAATTAGCATGTCTTCAGCTAAGAAGGAGCCAGTTCCTGTATGTGACAATTCACTGTCATTGAAACTGGTTTCTGCTCGGTCTGTGACCCGTGAGGATGAGAAGGAGAGATGCTGCCACTGCCCCAGCTCTGCTCCACCAACAGCTCCTCCACCCAAACAAGTGCTCGTGCAGGGACTGGCTGTTGTGACACCACTTGGGAATCGTGGAATTGTTTTAGTTGGAAAAGCCCTTTAAGCTCATGGAGTCCAACCATGAACCCAACACTGACAAGTCCCCGACTAACCCATGTCCCTCAGCACTGTGTCTACACAACTCTTCAATCCCTCCAGGGATGGGGACTCCACCACTGCCCTGGGCAACCCCTTCCAATGCCTCAGAACCCTTTCAGCAAAGAAATTCTTCCTCACATCCCATCTCAACTGCCCTTGGTGCAACTGGAGCCCATTTCCTCTTGTCCTGTCCCTTGGTCCTTGGGAGAAGAGACCAAGACCTACCTCGCTACAGCCTCCTTTCAGCGAGGGATGTCCCGGGACAGGGCAGGCTGATCTCAGCCTGGACAATAAGTATTTTTTTGCTGAAGACATTTGGGTTAGCAAGATGGTCTTGTCTAGCCTGGACCTGGGGTTTGGATGTAGAAGCTGCTGTTTCCAAAGTCTTCCTCAGCCTACAGGAAGACCGTGTCAAGCTTTACATTAAGTCAGGCTGGTCCAGTTAAGCTCGGGCTGCCTGTGACTGGAGTTATCTTGGTCCCACCAGCCGGCTGTATGAACCTCAGTCTGAAGGTGGTTGCATTCACCAGTCTGGAGACTGGGATCTCCAGGAAATACGGAAGTCAAGAGCAGATACTGGAGTAAGAGGAGGCATAAGGTGCTAGGAGAATTATGGGCAGCAGCTCCATCTGGATCATGGCCCCACCAAGCCTGGATGTTTTTAAAGCTCAGCTGTAAGGTTGCAGTAACCTCATCTCTGAAGCTGGCTCTGCCCTAAGCAAAAGGTTTGACTAAGGAGCTCCAGGTGTCCCCTCCTCTGAGGTTCTTCCTCTTACTCTAAATGAAGTTAAGATGTAGATAACATGTTACTAGCACCTTATCTATGTAAGAAGCAGAAACCTCTCTGGATTCCCAGCAATCCTGTGTCTCTTCACCCCCAGGTCATGTCCCAGCAGAAGGTGCCTGAGATGCTGATGTGATGCTCACCACTGCTGGCCACAGCGAGAGCCGTGCTTATCGACGGGGCTATGGGGAAACTGCAGAGTAAAATCAGCTTCCACAGCACCAAATACAGGTAAAGCAACACCAAATGGTCATGTCTTGAGTTAATGAACCAGTTGGGAGAGCTAATGGAGAACACAACTGAGCAGAGATTAGAGCAAACACGTGGTTCTGGTTTCATTGCTGAACTTATGAATCAGATTTTAATTTCTTTAGATTCTTGCTTCTAAAGATTGCTCAGCATCTTTGGGTAACTGAAATCCAAAATGTAGCTCCCGGGAGCATGTAAACACGGCCAGCAGTCATGCTGTGTGATGGCTCTGAAGGCCAACAGCTCCAGGGGTGACTGTTTGGCCCAAATATCCAAACTGCTTCGTTGCCTCTTCAGAGAATGTCATCAGCTTCCATCAGCAAGGTGAAATAATTCAGTATCTGGCAGCGAGGTGGGTGAGATTGGTTGGACTAGATGATCTCCAGAGGTCCCTTCCAACCCTGACTGGGATTCTGGGATCTCTGCCTGGAGATGGGCTGAGAGCACAGGGCAGCAGCAGTGGGGACTCAACGTGCTTGGCAAGGCTGGTGTGAGATGAAAGGAGAGCAGCAGAGCCTGGGAGGCATTAGTGGAGGTAGGGATGGAAATGCAGCTTTCTTTATTCTTTGCACCAGCATGGAGTGAGTAAACATCTCAGTATTTAGCAGCTCCAGAGATGGAATAGGTCTACTTCATCCCACTTGGTCCAGGAGATGCATTTCTGCATTCACAGCTCCTCTCCAGCTTTCCAAAGGCAGGTGTTGTCCCTGCAGCCCAGCCAGTGGTGCCATCTCATAGAATCCCAGACTGGTTTGGGTTGGGAGGGACCTTGAAGATCACCCAGTTCCAACCCCCCTGCCAGCAGCAGGGACACCTTCCACTAGACCAGGTTGCTCAAAGCCTCATCCAGCCTGGCCTTCAACACTTCCAGGGAGGAGCAGCCACAGCTTCTCTGGCCAACCTGGGACACTGTCTCACCACCCTCACACCAAAGAATTTCTTCCTCACATCTCAGCTCCATCTCTCCTCTTCCACTTTCAAGCCATCACCCCTTGTTCTGTCACTCCCTGCCCTTGGCCAAAGTCCCTCCCCACCTTCCTGGAGCCCCTTCAGGTACTGGGAGGCCACTAGAAGGTCTCCCTGGAGCCTTCTCTTCTCCAGGCTGAACAGCCCCAACTCTCTCAGCCTGTCCTCACAGCAGAGCTGCTCCAGCCCTCTTATCTCCCAGACCTTGGTCTCAGTGGGGAACATCACCCTGGCTGACTTTGCCTTAAAACTCCCTGTGGCTTCTTCCCCTCTCTCTCTGGCTGCTGCAGGGCCAACAGCTCGGTGGAGGAGACGGGACCTGTTGGAGCCATGGAGCAGCGTGTCCCCGTGCACACCGACACTGTCACTTCCGTGGCTGCTCTCAAACCAGACCTGTGTGTGTCAGGAGGAGGGGATAAGGTGAGGTACCCCCCGCCACGGGGCCATACAGCACAGTCACAGGCAGGGAAAGTGTTTTGACAGGTTATGAAAATCAGGTTTAAATGTGAGTTTGAAACATCTCCACGAATGGCAACAGCTTGGGCAGTTGCTGGGTGTAGAAAGCAAAGATGAGCTGAGAGCAAAGGCACCCACCAAGCAGATTGAATCCGATTTCACAGCCTCTCCAGAGCTCAGATCAAATGCTCTCACCCAGGTTTATAATCACTGCACTGGCCCTTCTCTTGTGCTGCCTGGCAATGGATGGGCTCTAAAGACAGTTGTGTACGCTGTAGGAGCTCAGAACCAGAAGAACCTGTTCCCTCTCCAAGCCTGGACTGTGCAGGGCTCTCGGTACAACATAAAACCCAGAAGGTGTGTAATCCTCCCTCTCCTGCTCTCCCTGCTCCTCCGCAGAGCGTGGCTGTTTGCAGCTGGAGATCCGGGGCCGTGCTGCAGAGGTTCATCGGGCACGAGCGCGAGGTCACCAAGGTGAGTGAGAACCGATCTCCTGTCCCGTTACCTGTCAGAAACTGGGGAGGCAGGAAGGATGGAGGGACAAGTTTGTCATCCACAGACACCTTGCCTCGCCCCGTCAGAAAAAGGGACCAGGGTGTCAGAACATGTTAGGTTTTTCCCAAAGTCCCAGCTGACACTTTGCTGTCTAAAGAAGCATCATGGAGTGGTTGCATCCAGACCAAACCATGTTCCAGGAAGCTTGGATGTATCTTCCCTTCCAAGAGACTGTGTAGCAAAAATTCAGGATGAATTACTGGGTCAAGCTTTCAATTCAGACATGTTCATTTCTCTCCAGGTCTCATTCCATTTGATTCATTATTATTCTACAAATCATCCACACCCAGCACCAGTGGGGCTTTAATTTTCCTCCTGGCATTCTGATTACAAAGCCAGACACGCTACTCCAAGAGCAAACGTGCAGGGGTGTATCCATGGGTTTGGCCAACGCACCTCCGGCCAGGACCGGCCCCAGCAGGTCCCCTGTGCTGTGGGTATTGGAAGGACGAAGGGGGCTGGTGGTCTGGAGGTAGAAAGAACTCAAAACTCATTCTTCATTCATCTCACTGCTCAAACCAACCGTGTGCTGGGCTCATTTGGGCTTTTAAGGAAGTTTTCACCATAAAATTAATGGTTTCTGAGAACAAGAATGGAGAACACCCATCCACCACCATCCAGCTCCCTGGTTCTGAGAGGACATGGGTCTCATGGTGGGTCACAGACCCTCACTGCCCAACATTCCCCATCAGCACGCACGGCCGTGGCACGAGCTGCTGCAGTTGCAACCAGGCTGAGTGGTTTCTCCAGCCCCACTGTGCTGGGGTTTGCCCGTGGCCAGGCCCATGGCAGGGGTTGCAGCGTGACCTGTGCGCATCCAGCACGGCCAAAGCAGAGTCTGAAGGTCAGGCTCTGCCCAGTCTCCTTTCTGCACATCTTGGGCTGTGTGGGGATGCTAACCAGCTTCTCCTGTCTCGTCCTTGGCAGGTCACCTCTGCTCTTGACTCAACCAGAGTCTTCAGCGCATCCCGGGACAAGACGGTGATGATGTGGGAGCTTCATGGGACTTCAGGGCCAAGCCAGCGCTTCTCAGGACACGACCTGGTTGTTACTGGACTGGCTGTGAGCCCAGGTGAGGAACAACACCCATTCCCCCTTGACAACTTTTGATGACACCTTTTCTTGATGATTTTTGCACGTTAACTTGTGGTTGCAGATGCCTCCTGGCTGTGCACGGGTTCACGAGACAACACTGTGTGCAAGTGGGACATAGAGACCGGAGAGTGTCTGGGCAAAGCCACTATCTCCAGGAATCTGGTAGGAGCTGCTGGTTCCTTGCATCCCATCATGACAACTCGCTGCCTGCTCGGTTATTTCGCACGTGAAGCCGTGTAGAGGGAATTTGCTCTGAGCTTGGTGCTACAAGAAGCCCTTGAGGTGCTGTGCAGGTTGTCTGTGCACCTGGGGAGATCAAAGCTCGAGGCTGGTTACTCTGTTCTCCAGGTAACAACAAATCCAGGAGCACAAAGATACCAGGAGATGTACAGGGATTTATTCATGTTGGGAAGCAGTGGGGGCTGCATCCCCTCCTGTACCAGACCAGCAGGGTACTGTCTTCTGGTGCCCATGGATCTGTGTCCTGTTGAGCTGTTGCCACCTCCCCACCTGCAAATAACCCCCAGTAACCAACCACCCCGAGACCAAACCCTGTAGGGGAGCACCAATGGTGGGAAACAGAAAAAAAACCTTAATCCAGCATTTCCTGCTCAGTAACCAGCATGAGGAGGGAGAGGGGAGCTCGGTGGCTGCGTATCTACAGGTGGACACCAGCCTGGGCTTCACACAGAGGTGGGCTTCTGCTCATCCTTTCTTCTCTGCAGGTCACACATCTCTGCTGGGTTCCTGGGGAGCCTTACGTCATCCAGACCTCAGAGGATAAAACCATCAGGTAAATCCTACACATGGCCACAGAGGAGGGAGGGAGTTACAGCCTGGGGCGTGTGGGGACTATGGAAGAGACCAGTGCACAAGGGGCTGGTTTGTCATGACCACCTGGTCTCCTGTACCTTGCTGAGGTGGCTAGAAGCCACCTTCCAGCTCACCTGGGTCTTAGAGCGTGGCCTATTGCCAGGGGAGGACAGTATGGGGGGGACATGCACGGCTGTAAGCAGCACTGGGAAGTGAGAGCAAGAAAAAAAGGAGAGTTTATAAAAAAGCCAGCTGAGCACTCTGGCTGGAGGGACAGACACAAGGATGCAGAGATGCTTTGGGAGCTCAGCTTGCTGGGAGGCAGGAGAGGGACCCCAGGTTCCAGTATAGGCTGGGAAATG